CTATGTGTTGGTATAGCCATACAAAATAGTTGACTCTAGTTACAAAAAAGTGGTTTATGACCTTGGTGAGATCACATTCATTGCAGTCCTGGTGACAGTAGCCCAAGTACAATGGGATAAGGAGTCAGGGGCAAGTGAAGAATATTAACAGTAATAGAATAAAATACAGGGAAAAGTATAAAAGATTTCATGGAACTTTGAAGAAGAAGAAGAGAGAGAACAGAAAAAGAGAAAGACATAGTAGAAGTGAGAGCCTGTGGCTAGATGGAGGAATTTAAAAATCTTCATTTCCTTGTTACTTGAGCAAGTTTAAAAGTAAATATGAAGGAGCCATCTCATCCCAGGTTAACCTTTGAAGTTGTTCATATATTCATTTCTCTTCATACCTTTTAATTTTTACTTTAGAGATAATGAGATGCCATTAGTAGAATAGCATGGATTATGAGCTCAGTACAAAAATTTCAGTTATTAGTGAATGGAAGAATGAACAACTATATGTCAAGGAAATTCTATTAATTCTTGGATTTGTGTGAGGAAGCAGATATCTGACATTCTGATGCATTGGGGCTAGATACTATATCATCTGAGGACCCTGCACTGGTGATGAGGTCCAGGTCAGAATTTTCTACACAAATGTTAACATATAAAATGATCCCGGAATAATCATTAGGCAGAAACCATGCCTTGCTTCCCTGGTGTGATCTGTCACTCACATGAGTTACAAGATATTCCTGTCTTTCCAGCATGTGGAACTGGATTTGGGACTTTTCAGAGAGAGGTACAATGTGAAACAGCTCTTATGACCTGATGAAACACTAAAAAGGAGAGCAACTATTGTCATCAAAATTTTGAACTCATGGTGTATCAGGGAGTTATTTGTTTCCTTCATCTAGAGGAAGGCTAAACAATGAGCAGTGAGTTTTTATAATGGTTATCTTAGACCTAAGGCTGAACCTCAGGTTGTGTGGCAGTTGATTAACAGAAATAGATATCCAAAATATTATGTTTCTGATGAACTTTACTTCTTTTGTTATGTGTTATTATTAGATAAGAAATTCTCTTTTTTTGAAGGTGAACCTTCATTATAATTTTGACAGTAGTCTGTGCATGTATGTATCTCTGTAGATTTCTGAAGATTTCATCAATTTTTTCTTGAAGAGATTTCCAAGGGTGCTTTTCACAATTTTGCTTTTCAAGCTACCTTGGAATTTTGAGTCTCTATTTCAGTCACATTAATGAAGAGGATGTTGATATAAACCACTCCATAAGGAAATCCTTGCAGGCTGGTTTAGTGACTCTTCATTCTGAACAAGGCACCTTTATTTATGTTGAGAAGTGTTTCTCAAATAAGGTACCTCAAAACACCATCTCCTGTTACAGGATCCCTTTGCAAGGAATTCATTTTCTTTAAGCACCTAGAACAGGACTCCTTCAGCAGACAGCAGATAGATGTGCATTGCAGTCCTTGGACTGTGTGACTATCCCAAAACAGTACTGTCAGTTGGATGAGTCTGTTATGGGGTTTATTTAGGAGGTCAACTTATTAGCAAATCTAAGTCAATATTACCTTTATAAAAAATCAAGTCAATATATTGCTTCTCTTTATTCTTCAAACATATTTGCTTAGTTGGTTTAAAGCTCAGAGGAGTATATTTTAGGGGCCCTTTAAAGATCCTGTTACTAAAAGCTTTGTCTTCCCTGAGGCTAATCCAATAGTGAGTCAAGGTTTGGAGAAAAGAAAGTTGTTTTATTACTTTACTAGCAAAGGAGAAACATGGGGGACTCGTGTCCCAGAGACTGTGATTCTCTCAGGGGAAACAGAGGGCTTTCAAACTGATGATACAGTCTGTTTTCCAGCTGTGCCCTGTCAAGGGACATAATTCACTAATAGCCTTTAGAGGTAGCCATTTCTTAGAACTTCTGGCACTAGTCATGAATTCTGGATTCCTTCATTCCTGTGTTGCATGAGCTTAAGGACAGATAACTGGGCCTAGGACCGGAAGAAGGTTCATCTTGCTTCCCTCATGGTTAGGGATAAGGAGAAAAGAAAGGAAGGAAAAAAACCTGTGTCAGTTTTAAGATAAGCCTCAGTGACAGAGCAGCAAGGATTATATTCAGAGCATGAAGTAGACTCCTATCACAATCCAACTATTAGGAAGTAAATCTATAGGAAAAAACTGAGAAGCTAGTGAGACACATAAAGGGGAGTAGAGCTTTGATCCTAATATAAGACTCACCCCTTGAGGGCAGAGCAGACAAGTATTCTGAAGGTCTGCCTATTACCAAAATTACTGAAGGGAGAGGACCTGAAAAACACTAGTGTTTTCTTACAAACTCATGAATTATGATATATGGATGTGCAAAGGCTTTTCAGATGTCGGTGATAGGCCTGTGCATAGTGGTTGCCATAGAAACCTGATGGCATGACAACTTTTTAATGGAGGCTGATGTGATTTGGTTTGAGAACAGGGACTCACTTCCAGGTGTTTGGTCCTAGTGAGGGTGTGGGTGCCCTGTCCATTGGGGCTGAAATTTCCTGGGGTTTTGGGAGAGGAAGAGATCCCAGACTCTAGTCTTCTCATTCCAACTTTGAGGCTCAATGCCCCCTATCTCAAGAGGGAGGGTGATGTGGGACCCTCCTGGTTCCAGCGAGTGTGGGGTCCTGCTCCAGGGTGTCCTGGACCTACTTTCCATGTAAAGGCATGCTGGAGGATAAGACAGGGAACAGCGCTATGTGACCCAGCTTCTCCTCCATAAAATGGGGGCAAGAATGGTCAGCCACAGGATTTCTAGGACCTTCAGGGATAGCACTTGCTCAAATAATAATTAGTGATACCTGTGTATCTTTCTCTTGAATGCTGAGTCATGCCATTAGTTAGACATTCTTCCTAGCAATTTTAGAATTTGGTATGCATTCTAAAATGGTCACCAATTTATATGTCTTATAGTGAAATTTATTAAGAAGTTAGAATTGGTCCTTGAAGGGTTAACTTGCCCAGAACAGCAAAAGAAAAAAGCTACTTGTGTGTGAACTTCTGCAGAAGTTCCTCCCCTTACACACTGGGTATAAAGTTCTGAAACTACCTGAATCGGGGTTCAGGGGGATTAATTTATTACAGTGAGAGCTGTAGCCTCTGAAGCTAGCTGCAGCTAAATAAACTGTTTCCTGGGCTAGGGTTGTGGCTCAGCAGTAGAGCACTTGCCTAGCAAGTGCAAGGTGCTGGGTTTGATCCTCTTCAGGACCACATAAAAATAAATAAATAAATAAAAGATATAAAAATAAATAAATAAAAATATTGTGTCCATCTACAACTAAAAATATTATTAAAAAACAAGAACAAAAGTCAGAATTATATCAAATGTAATTAAACATGTAAAAATGTCAGAATATGGTCTATCTTATGTGTAGAAGTTTTAAAAAAGTTGATCTGGGTGTAGAATAGTGATCACTAGAGGGTTGGAAAGTAGAGAAACGGGATGGATAAAAGGGAGGCTGGTAATGATCATGTATGCTATATGTATGCTATATGTATGTATGAAATATGGCAACCCTATCAGCATGTACAATTAATACATGTTAATAAAATAAAATATTAAAAGAATTCAATATTTTCAAAAATAATAAGTATATTATTATTTGCTATATTTGATGATACCCAGTCATGTCCCCTAAAATAACTATATAGTTCTAAACATCATTAGTATTTTCATTTTCAGTTCTATGGTATCCAGTCTCCCCACCCCTCTACTGCCCTGGTCTCAGGCAAACACAGTACTTCTATAACTTATGGATTAAATTTCATGACCTAGAAATTTATTTAAATAAAATCATGCAAATGGGGTTATTTTGTTTGTTTTCAGCAGAGTCCAGTTTCTTTCATTCACCCTAATTATCTTTTTTTCATATATCAATACTTCATTCTTCTTTTAATTACTGAATAGTATTCTGGTATATGACTATTCCACACTTTTATTTTTAAGCCCAGTTGCTTAACCACTGAGCTATAACCCCAGCATTTTTGTATTTTATTTTGAGACAGGGTCTCCCTAAGTTGCTAAGGCTCACTAAGTTGTTGAGGCTGGCTTTGAAGTTGTGATACTGCCTCAGCCTCCTGGGCCTCTGGGATAACAGATATGTACCACAACACTCAGCTATCCACCAATTTTATTATCCATTTACTCATTGATAGACATTTAGATTATTTCCATTTTGAGGCTCTTTTTAAAGCAATATTTATTTTTTTAGTTGGACACGTATCTTTATTTATTTTTTTATGTGGTACTGAGGATTGAACGCAGGTCCTCACACATGCTAGATGAGCACTCTACCACTGAGCCACAACCCCAGCCCCATTTTTGTGCTCTTATAAATAAAGTTTCTGTGAATAATAGTGATTAAATCTTTTCATGGGAATATGCAATATTTCCCTAATGTTTAATACTTAGGTATTCAAAGACTGGATCATATGGTAAATGTAAGATTTACATTTTAAGAAACTTTAAAATTATTTTTAAGGGGTTATACCATTTTTATTGCCATCAGCAGTGTTTGAGAGTTTCATCTTCCAAAAAAGTTCCAGTACTTGTTATAGCCAGTTGTGTAATTTTTTGTTATTCCTCTAAAATTTAATAATATCTCATTGTAGCTTTCATTTAAATTTTTAATGATTAATGATGGTGAGCATTTTTTTTTTCACTTGTTTATTTCAAATTTGCGTATTTTCTTTAGTGGAGTCTGTATTCAAATCTTTTCCCCATTTGTTTATTGGATTGTCAATTTTCTTATTCTTTGGTCAAATTTTCCTATAATCTGGCTGGATACAGTGACCCACTCATGTAATCCCAGTGGTTTGAAAGGCTGGGGCAGAAGGATCACAAGTTCAAGGCCAGCCTCCGCAATTTAACAAGGCCCTAAGGAACTTTAGTGAGACTCTGTCTTCAAATAAAAGGATTGCAAATGTGACTTAGTGGTTAAGCTTCCCTGGGTTCAATCCCTGATACAAAAAAAATCTGAATGCAAGTCCTTTACCAAATATATGATTTTTCAAACATTTTCTCCCAGTCAGGGCCTTATCTTTTTCTTTTTTCAACCAAGTATTTGGAAGAGCCAAAAATTTTAACTTTGAAGAAGTTGTCAATTTCTTTTACTTATGGACTGTGGTTTGAGTGTCTCATTTATGAACTCCTTACCTAACCCTTGTCAGCAGCATCACAAGGGTTTTCTCCAGTATATTTTTTCTCAAAGTTGTATATTTTTAAGTCTTATGGTCAGATTTGTCATCTATATTGAGTTGACATTTATATGTGAATGTAGATATCCACGTGTCCCAGCACAGTTTGTTGAAAAGATTATCCTTTCTGGATGCCATGCCTTTGTGCCTTTGTTAAAAAAAAAAAATCAATTGTCAGTATTACTATATGTTCATTTCTCAATACTTTATTCTTTTCTTTTGATTGACTTCTTTTTACCTTGATGCCAACATTTCTTTTAGCATTAATGCAGATTTAATAAGGAGTGTTGAAATAAGATTGTTTGCCCTCTTACATTTTTATTTTTCAAAGTTAATTCATAGTCTACATTCTTTGCATTTCCATGTGAATTTAGACTTGACCGGTCAACTTCTTTTAAAGAAAATGTCTTTTTTTTTTATTTGAAGAGAATAGACATCCTAAAAACAATGAGTCATCCAGTTCATGAATATGTCATTCTGTTTATTTAGATTTGTAATCTCTCAGTAATATTTAGAAATATTCAGTGTATAAGTATTATACATCAGTGGGAAGATATTCCCAATTATTTCATACTAACTGATGCTATTATATATAGTGTTTTAAAATATAATTTTATGTATTTTATTTTCACTGAGATGTCAGCAGCAAAATTTTTGACAGTAGATGTTAAGAAATCTATGATGTTAAAATTTCAGGATACTTACTCTGAAGTTGCTTGTGTCACATTTTGATGTGATTGGCAATGTATTGAAACTTGGGAGAAAAATATCCTAGAGCTAATTCAACAGATAACTTCCAAAAGAAACCATTCCTAAAAGTAGTCGCTTTTAATTATATATGTGTGGCCAAAACTGAATGTGTTCAATTGTGTGGTTTCTCTTCTTTATCTTCCAGCAGTCTACCTCCACAAATTCCTGGGATTTGGGGTGATGGTGGTGGTAGGAGATAACATGTATGTATGTGGGTTTGTATGCATACATGAATATGTATATGGATGACGATTTTGGGAGTACTTATTGTGAGGGGACCTGCATGAAGTTAATTACTGTGCAATTGGTTCCTAGAACATATTATAAACAAAATCAGGGTGGTGTTTTTTTTCCACCTTTCCTAACTAGCATGGTGACTCAATGACTGCTATAGATTCGGTACAAACTAAGCATCTATTTATGATTCTTACCTTAATCATTTATTACAGTGAAAAGAATACTGTTATACTTTGTATAATAATTACCTGGAACTTTTATATAAAGCTTTTACTTTCCCCTTGTTTATTTAAAAATGTGATTATTAATGTGTTTGTCAGTATGACTCAGAGATTCACATTTTTCTCAAAGAGTTACTCATATTCTCTGTTTATAATATTATGCTAAAATTGTTATAGAATTGGCCAGTGGAAACACCTTCAAGTTGGCCTCAGTATCCATTTGATAACTCCCTAGAATTCCTTGAGAAGGTACTTTGATCTCTGAGCCTAACCATCTCCAGATCTGTAGAAAGGAAGTCATGATGTTTATCTCAAAGCATTGTTTTGAAGACTAGAAAATAAAAAAGTGTGAAAATAATAGCCTATGGAGTGTGGCATCTAATAAGCCTTCACCAGAATGTTAGTTCCCTATTCTAACTTTACTTCCTTCATTCTGTCAGTGAGATACCTCTCACATTAACATAATACAATGACTACAGAGAGAATACCTGTAAATATAGCTGCAAGCAATAAGAAACCCATATATCCATTATGAGTGAGCTACAGTGTCACTGCTGTGTGTAAGACGGTTGTGGGATAAAAAAACAGAGTAAAGATAGGCAAGACATCATTCCTCTATCCCTTGCATTTTGTGTTTTTTCTCATCATCTTACTTTCCTCTATTCCATATACTTTTTATCCCTAGTTTAACATCAGAGAAGCATGTGTACACATCCTAGAAAGAGGAGTGCCATTAACAATTCTCTATTGCTTTTCATTTCATGTTTATTGTAGTCTCTGCAGACAGCCAAATAAGCTGAATTTCATAAAATGTTATAAAATGGTGATGTTCTAATTCTGATTTATTCTACATTCATCAGCTGGAAATCTGTAAAAGAAACTTCCCCTCATCAACTACCAGGATATACTAAGGTATGTATACAGGAAAGGTAGGGTGGATATTTAATTTTTTTCAGTATCTTCACTTTTCAAAGCAATGAGTAGTTTCCCTGGGAACCCTCAAAGATAATCAATGAGTTAGATTTGTGTTTGGATTTTGTTAGAATGTCATCATGGACACATAGATGATCCTATATTCAATGTACTTTAATACCCAGTAAGAATTAGCCTTTTTGCTGTTCTTTGTCCAGTGGCAGCTCTTTCAGCTTGACTTTTGAGTCTTTTTGACATATTCTTTGGTATGATATTTTGGTCCATTCTCATCTAGAACAATCCAGATCCCAGACTTAGAATCAGATATTTCTGAAAGGGAACTCACATTTTTTTTTAAAGAGGATGAAATTTTAGAGGATTCAGTCTGAGTACTAGAGTAGGTCACTGTTACTTTGCTGCTCATTGTTTTATCTTTTTAAATGTATGAATCCAGTAAAATACGTATTATATTTTAAGGAGAATAGACATCATCCACTTCCATCCGGGGCTACTTCTCTATTATTATTTTAGTATGCCAATGTAAAATATAACCAAATATAATATATATTATTTCTTTCCCATGTTCATAGCTAGAGTGTTGCATATTATACACCAATAGAAATTTCTGTTGACATAAAAATATTCTGAATCATCAAATATGGTAGCCACTAGCTGGTAAAGTATGGTGAATGTTAATGAAAATCCAAGTTTGCAATTTAAATTTGATCAGTTTGAAATTACCAACTATGGCTAGTGGCTCCTATATCAGAGAGCCACAGCTAGCACTTCCTTCTGCACCTTAATTTTCACTGAACAATCTATCCCAGAGATCACTCCATAGCAATATAGTGAGAGAGTCTTCATTGCTTGTTATAGTTGCATAGCACTCCTGGATATAGATATACTTTATGTTACTCAAACAGTTCCTACTTAGTGGTCAACTGTGATATTTCCAGTCTTCTGCTGTTCCCTCAGGAAGGATCTTGTGTTATTCCGTTTTTCTTTTCACACTCTTTCTATTGTATCAAATTTTAGAAGAGATAGTGCTGGTTTCTAGAATAAATACCTATATAATTTTTCCTGTGTAGCTTTACTAGATAGTATCAAATTCCCTCTAGAGCAGTTGTTCCATTAGATATTACTCCCACAATGTCTAAAAATGCTGACTTCCTCACAGTTTCTAAGAGGAACTGAAGGAATCTGTGAAAATTATTCCATTAAGTAAGGAGGATTAGATGTTGGGGCTGAGGCCTAGTCCTGTGCTTGTTTTTGAGAATTTGACCTTTATTCTTTTCTGTCTGTGTGGCTCTAGGTCCTTACCACCAACTCAGAGAGAGGGTCTTATGTGAATCAAAACTCCACGTCCCATCAGGAGATTCAATAGGAGGAACCTCCCTCCCAGGGAAAGACAGGTAAAAATACAGTTCAGAAATCCATCACTCTTACTTAACAAAAGGTAAAGGGAAATGGAAAACCTGTAGATCTCTACCTATGAGAAAAACTGAGACAGTATTGGTTCCACAGAAGAGTTACCTCATCATTTATTTTTTGTGAGTGAGATCCAATGGGGAGAAGGTTGGCCATTAGCACTAGGTGCTTCAATTTCCCACAGTTCCACTTTTCCTGATTCAGCCATATCATTTTCTGTTTAGATGCTGGGTTCCCAGCACTCAGGATGACTGTTGGACTAAACTTGCCTAGAATGGAGTCAGTTTGAGGTCATATAGCATGGGTTGGGCTGCAACATCTGTTTCTCCCTTTGGACATTGCCAGTTGTGCAGGTCTAGAGATTGTGAAGGGATTGTGGGATATGCATACACAATTGGACTGACAGTGCTTGGAACACAGTAATAAATAAATTACATGTAAGTAAATTAATTACATATAGATGTAGGAGTAAGTAGGAAATGAAACTAAGTATATGACATTTCATTTTTTATATACATATAACTTTTTCAAAGACAGTTGTAGTTACAATGTACTAATTCTTCAGTCATCTTTTTTGAGGAAAAATTGTCTTCTGATTATAAAAATTTTTCCTTTTCATTGAAAAAAACATGACTTGCAGAAAATGGAGGATGATGCCACTTGGATGAAAATTTCAACCAGGGGGCTTCATAAGGGGTAGGGGATTTGGGAGAAATGAAAGAGATGCCTGAATTCCTTTGTATAGTCCAAAGCTTTCTGGATTTTTCTACATACTGGTGGCAATCCTACTATCTTCACATCTACTCTGGAATCTTTCTTCCCTGGGACTGTAAGTCCAGGCTGTATGTGAACTGAATAAAAAACCAAATGAGATGGTGTACGAGTACTTACTGAAAAGAAGGATGAGACACAGAAGAAACAGACACCCCCCACAGACACGCTGTCAAATAACTTGTTTTGATATGCTTCTTTTAAACATAAGACTATATACCATGAACATGTTTCCAAAGCAATGAATATATGAGCATCATGTGTGTAATCAATTCACAACTAGGTTTTCATTTTATACAATAAAGATCCTGTATATAAAACACTAGAGAAATATACCTTCATAAAAGTAACAAATCCTCAGTCAGTGCCTACATACAAAATTATTGATTTTTAATGTGCTATTTTTACAAAGAGTATATGAACATGATACTTAGTCAACAAATATTTTTCTATACTGCATTTTGAAACTCAGTTTACACATTTTTTCTCATTTACAAAATTTTATCTTAATAACTTTGCACAGTATTGTTAATTCCTTTTGTTGTTTAAAGTGTAACAAACATAACAAAAATTATTTTAGAAATAAAAAATGCTCAGCTTCTTATGTTGTTATTACTATCTAATCCTCTATAATACAATCTCTTTAATTTACTGCATCTGTTCTTCAATTTATTTTCTATTATATAGCATACTAACTTATATTTAGTCACCATAAATACAAAAAACATTTTGATTTATATATTCCTTTGTATCAAGGGATTATAGTCTATATTATAGTTTATAATTTGTATGATTGACTAAATATGATTCATTTTTATTTGTTTACATGATTTTTATGCTTCTGAGAGGTTTTCAGGATTGCTTTATGTTTATTGTCTCTTAAAAAATGGCCAATCTGTATTGTTTAAGAGTTTTTCATAATGTATGAAATCTGATTGAATATCTGTTAAGAATAACTTTGCCCAAATTTCCACTCTTATATATATTTTTAATGACTTTTGGTGTTTAGAGAAAGGAATTTATTTTTCTGTTGTGGTGCCAAGGATTGAATTCAGGGCCTTAGGCATACAAGGTAAGTCTTCTACCACTGAACTACATCCTCTGTCCAATGGCTTTTGGCATTTAAAACTTCAAAAGGTGTCTTGATGTTTTTCACTGGAGAGGCAGCATTTAAAATATTGATGATTGTCATTGTAGTTTGGAATCTGGGGAAAATATACGCTGTTATACTCATTCAATATCTTGTTTTCCTTCCTGAGCCTGAGAAACATACCTAATGCTGAAAATGAGTATCTTTTCTGTGATTAGAACTGTGAATGTTTATATTTCCCTGCCATTGTATAATTTTGTGTAATTTCAACACCAGTAGGGGTGTATTATAATTAAAAAATAAATAACATAGAAAGAGAATAAAATAATGATTCCCTAAAACAGAGTACTCATATTTAAGTCTTGATAATGTCTTTTTCTGTGTAAGATTTTTTATAGAAAATTTCTCATGCAGTTATTTGTGCAGAAATGTATGCATTTATTTATTTATTTTTTTAGAGAGAGAGAGAGAGAGAGAGAGAATTTTTAATATTTATTTTTTAGTTCTTGGCGGACACAACATCTTTGTTGGTATGTGGTGCTGAGGATCGAACCCGGGCCGCACGCATGCCAGGCGAGCGCGCTACCGCTTGAGCCACATCCCCAGCCCGAAATGTATGCATTTATATATTTATATTCAAGAGGAAAAGTCTTAGGCTGGGCTGTGACTCAGTGACAGAGTGCTTGCCTAGCACTTGCAAGGCACTAGGGTTCAATCCTTAGCAACACAAAACATAAACAAATAAAGGCATGCTGTTCATCTATAACTGCAAAAAAATAAAAATAGAAAAGATAAAATCTCACTCTAAATTTAGTTTTGTAACCTTTCAAATGACATTCAGTGTGAATAAACATGAATCTACATTATAGGAGTAGTAAAAATACTAATGGCTAATAACAATAGAGAAAAATAAACAAAAATAGCTAGAATGTAATGTACCAAATAATTTTAAAGCATTGAGTTATTTAATGCTAACAGCAACCTTAAAATACAATTAATATTGCTAATATCCATTTATTTATTTATTTATTTATTTGTGTTATTGATTTTATTTTTTAAATACATGACGTGGAATGCATTACAATTCTTATTAAACATATGGAGTACAATTTTTCATATCTTTGTATATAGAGTATATTCACGCCAATTCATGCCTTTATACATGTACTTTGGGGTTTTTTTGCATTACAATTCTTATTACACATATACCACAATTTTTCATATCTCTGTTTGTATATAAATATATATGTGTGAATAACTGAGCTATAATAAGGACATTGCCTAAGACTTCACAGTTAGGAAAAAGGACAGCTTGGATTTGAGCCATGTATGTCATGCTTCAGAGCCTGGAAAACTGTCAAAGAAAGATGTCTTGTTAAGTGAAAGAAGCAGTCTGCATAGACATGCATATTTTAGGAGGTCATTAAAAGTAATTCTCAGTATGTTTTTGATACACACAATTGGACATAGTGACAGAAAGATAATTTGTGACCTTGGAGAACACTAATGTTGCAATCCTGGGGATAGAAGCCATAGTGCAGAAGGATGACTCAGTGGTAAGTAACAAATGTTAGTAGGAAATGCCTGAAACTTTCTCAGAACTTTAAATGGGAAAAGGAAGAGAGAGACAGAATATTTATCTGGTGGAAGAATGGGTAAATGGGGCCAGGAGGGATTTTTTTAAAACCTTCAGTTTCTTGAAACTTAAATAAGTATAAAATTTAAGTTGAAGGAACCATCTAATCTCAGACTTAACTTTTAAAATCACTCATGTATATATGTACCTTTCTGTCCTTTCATTTCCACATTAGAGCACATGAGATGCCTCCAATGAAATAGTATGGGTTTAAGCATAATAGCTATTCTAATGAAAAATGGACAAATGTGTGTAAAAGAAATGCCAGTAACAATAGGATTTTTGTCTCTGTGAAAGACAAGATGGCTGAATAATGTGATAAAGTTAGATAATACATGATGTGAGGACATTGTGACTGTGGGACATTTCAAAGTTTGTTCTGAATATATTATCATATTGAGCAGTCCAGGAACAGCCATTAGGCAAACTCACCCTACATCCAAGGTATTATCTATCATTGAGCTCACCAGATGAGTTCAGACGTACCTGTCTTCCCATCATGGGGAATTGGAATTGAATCTGCTCAAATGAGTGATGTGGAACCACTTTTGTAAGGTATGAAATGCCCAAGAATATAGAACAGCTTTTGTTTCTAAAACTTTGAACTCAAGCCATCTCAGTGAGATTTGCTTCCACTGTCTAGCTGTCTGTGTTCTTATTAGCAGAAACAATGAGAAATGACTTCACAATTCCTAATTTAGTTAGCCCTGAGGTTCCTGGTGCTGTGTCTGAACATTTTAAAGGACATTGGAGTCCTGTTCTATGCCACACTGTGGGCAAGTGTTCTTAGTTACCTTTAGGTCAGCTGTGTAAGGATGGCATGGTCAGTCCCATTTAATGGATAACCAAACCAAGGCTCACAAAGCCTAAGTCACACTAGCAAGACTGGAATGAGCTTCTATCTTTTACTCTACCTAGAGGTCACAGAGCAGCTTTTATATATATATATATATATATATATGAAGATGGGCTTCCAGAGCTTGAGACATGGTCAGATTAACTCCCCTGCTATTACATGAGCCCCATAGAACAATCCCTCTCAGTAGTGAAAAGGGGAAAGGAGATGAAATACCAATCTATGTGCCAGGAGACCTGGGTATAGGGCTACATAAGGTGGTTGATCCCTGAATTGGTGAATAGGATCAGAAAGATCAGCTATTGCCATTGAAGCAAGTAACCTAGAGAGAAAATAATATGTACTAAAATGCTTTATGCTAATGCATTTTATATTTCACTCCTTTAATCCCAACATCTATCAAGTTACCAATTGTTAGCACCATTATTCAAATTAGAGTACTAACTTTAAAGGAGTTTAAATAAACCAGAAACTATCTTGTCTCTTGATCGTCAGCTAACCTTGGAATTGGTGTAAAGTTTTTTTTTTTTTTTTTTGCCAATTTTTATTTCATTCTTCCTTGGCTCTGAAGTCTAATTTCTAAGGCTGCTATTAAATGTTCCCTGGGGTATTGTTAAATTTTTAGAAAAAT